AGCGGCCGCCAGAAGACCTCCCCCTGGTGTCAGGTACTGTGTTATGGTGTCTGTCTGTATGTTGTGTGTGTCTGTCTGTATGTATGGTGTGTGTGTGTCTGTCTGTATGTATGGTGTGTGTGTGTGTGTGTGTCTGTCTGTGTGTGTGTCTGTGTGTGTGTGTGTCTGTCTGTGTGTGTGTCTGTCTGTATGGTGTGTGTGTGTGTGTGTCTGTATGTATGTTGTGTGTGTGTCTGTCTGTCCGTGTCATGGTGTCTGTCTGTATGGTGTGTGTGTCTGTCTGTCTGTGTCATTGTGTGTGTGTGTCTGTCTGTGTCATTGTGTGTGTGTGTCTGTCTGTCTGTCGGTGTGTATGTGTCTGTCTGTCCGTCATGGGGTGTGTGTGTCTGTCTGTCCGTCATGGGGTGTGTGTGTCTGTCTGTCCGTCCGTCATGGGGTGTGTGTGTGTGTCTGTCTGTCCGGGTGTGGGTGTGTCTGTCTGTCCGTCATGGGGTGTGTGTGTGTCTGTCTGTCCGTCATGTGTGTCTGTCTGGTCCGTCGTGTGTGTGTGTGTCTGTCTGTCCGTCATGGGGTGTGTGTGTGTGTCTGTCTGTCCGTCATGGTGTGTGTGTGTCTGTCTGTCCGTCATGGGTGTGTGTGTGTCTGTCTGTTGTCCGTCATGGGTGTGTGTGTCGTCTGTCCGTCTGTGGGGTGTGTGTGTCTGTCTGTCCGTCATGGGGTGTGTGTGTCTGTCTGTCCGTCATGGGTGTGTGTGTGTGTGTCTGTGTCTGTCCGTCATGGGGTGTGTGTGTGTGTCTGTCCGTCATGGGGTGTGTGTTTCTGTCTGTCATGGGTGTGTGTGTGTCTGTCTGTCTGTCCGTCATGGGGTGTGTGTGTGTGTCCGTCATGGGGTGTGTGTGTGTGTGTCTGTCCGTCATGGGGTGTGTGTGTGTGTGTGTCTGTCTGTCCGTCATGGGGTGTGTGTGTGTGTCTGTCTGTCCGTCATGGGGTGTGTCTGTCTGTCTATCCGTCATGGTGTGTGTCTGTCTGTGTCATGGTCTGTCATTGTGTGTGTGTCTGTCATGGGGTGTGTATCTGTCATGGTATATGTGTGTTTCTGTGTCTGTCATGGTGTAAATGTGTGTTTAAAAATAGTGTTTTTGCTCACCTTTTTTTTTCCCCACGCAGTGTCCTGGTCTCCCCTCGACTGGCCCTGCCTCTATAGCTGAGATCATCAAGCTTGATGATCTCAGCCAATCCAATGCTTTGCCATAGGATTGGCTACAAAACACCACTCCAATCAGCATCTCCTCATAGAGATGCATTGAATCAATGTATCTCTATGGGGAACGTTCAGCACCTACAGAGTGTGGAGGCCCTGAATGTAGGTGCACTAACACAGGAAGCACCTCTAGTGACCGTCTGAGTGACTGTCACTAGCAGTGTCACTTTGAAGCAATGTAAACACTGCCTTTTCTCTGAAAAGTCAGTGTTTACGTTGAAAAGCCTGTAGGGACATGCTATAGACACCAGTACCACTACATTAAGCTGTGTGTGTGCGTCTGCTAGTGAGTGAGCTTGCTTGCATGCGTGTGCCTGCTAGTGAGTGAGCTTGTGTTTTTATGTCAATGAGCTGATGTATATCAGTAAGATTGTTTGTCTATGAGGCTGTGTATCAATGAGCTTGTGTGTGTCATTGAGATGTCAGTGAAATTGCCTGTGTCTGCATGTGAGAGTGCTTACTGTATAATTAAACATTTTACCCTGAAAGGACCAATATTTTATATTAGAAAAAGCAATATATATACCTTGAAAAAGACCTGCAGAGGTCGAAACGTTGGTTTTTCTTTTGCACATGACTTAAAATAAAACAGAATTTTTTTTGCACAAGTCCTGAGAGTGCATCTTGGATTATTCTTCGGAGATATATATATTTTTCATATTTGACTATTTTGACCTAAATGTTGAAATTCACTTTGAATTCCCGGCAGCTGTCAAGGGTGAATAACCCGGACTGCCTTGATACAAAGATAAACAAATGCAATCGACCTTAGCATTTATATGGCTATATGACCGGTTGGTCCCCTTCCTGGGCCACAAACTGCAATATCCATTTCCAAATATATAAAAGCAATATTTATAAATAAATGAAAAATGAAGACTAACAGCTAAATCTTCTTTGATTTTTACCACTGTAACCTTTCCAGCTCTAAAATAGATCCCAGTACAGAGTAACACTATTGTGTAACAAGATCGGAACCCTTTGAATGGCAAATTATACGCCCTTCACATAACTGATCAAATTAAAGTGCAATTAATTTCACTTTACTTTATTACAAGCTATGTATGAAACCGCATATAAAAGAGAGAGAGAGGTTTCCTCTCTAATGTTCACTGAGATTCATACCCACAAACCCAGGCCAAGGGATGTCTCTTACACGAGTGAGCATTTTATGAAATTAAAGGGACACTCCACTGTCCAAATACAAAAAAAATCACTGTTTAGTAGACATGCACCTGATGAAATCATGCATGCCTTTAATTATGCATTTGTCATTAGGATATATCTAAAAACAGGTTGCAAAATCTGCAGAGCTCTTGTCTGCAGCTTTTTCAAGCCCTCCCTTTCTAACTCCTCCCAGACCTTCTGTGGCTGTCCAATCACACACTTCACAATGTAGCTCATTGAAAAGTCTTTGCAAGGCAGGTGCTCTGGCCAATGGCTGCCTCTTGAGTTTAGCTTCACTGAGCTAACCAAACCAGGAAGTAACAGAACACGTCTGATTGACAGCCAGGGGTGTAACCAAGTTAATTCATAAAAATTTCAATTTCTATTGAATTCTGAACTTTTGTAAAATGGTGGGGGGAGGGTGGGGGGGGAGACACATGTTCTTCAAACATGATAAAGCTCTTCAACAATCTGCAGTGTCCATTTAAGAGATAATCCATATAATTAATATATATTACACAATATATGTCAGGTTTTTCAGGGTTTTACCCGCGTCCACCGGCATTCTCCCAGATGCTGCATACTCTCTACGTGCTTTTTTTAAAAATTATTATTCACGCCCATATTCACTGAATCGAAATTCTGCAATGAGGTTACGGATTGAGCTGACACGGTTCTGGAACTCTAAAATTGCAGTCTCCAATAGAAAACAAGCCATTCCTATTTATATTTATACACCTGTCTCATTCATTAGCCCTATTGTGGTTCTTGTTAGCCCAATATTGCTTTCTTGTATACTCTGCTCATTTGATATTTGAGTTTTGGCTTGTGTATCATTTATCCTGACCTGAGTACTCCTTGACTTGGTTAGAATTCCATTTATTCATTTATCCTTTCTCCTGTACTTGACCTCGGCTATTTCTCTGACTCTGTTCTCCTTTAGCCCGGCCATTCTAAGGACCGTTACACAGATAGTTTCTCCCTTGTGTTCTGGGTTTGTGTGTTTTGTTCCTACCCTAATCCTGACTATATATATATATTTTTTTTCTTTGCATAGTCCTGTGTCAAAGAAGAGTTTTTTAAAAGTCTGTAAGCTAAATAGTACAAAAACATTCTTTAATATTTCTTTTATAGCATGAGAATCACTTGTCAGTTGCATGTCAATAGTACATCAATCTATTTTTTTTCTTTCTTTGTGATTTAGAGAGATACTAAACAAGCTTGCATTGTGTAAATGCCATTTGTCAGTAAGCAGTATGAAGTTCCAATTTCTCTTTGTATTTTTCCAGGTATCATGTCATGTCTTCATGTACAGATATAAGGCCCAAATCCATAGTGAACTTGCGGTCTGCAGTTTCCCCCAGAATCCTTAGCCCCATACTGATCCTAACAAAACCTGACTCTCTTTAGTTTCCAAGATCTGACGTGATCTGGCACATTTAGGTTAGAATAGCTGTAGGCACTTAGCAAACTAAATGAAGTAACTAGCATTTATTCCGACGTGTTATTTATTACGTAATAGGTCTAGCATACCAAATTATTGTACCATGCTGGCCTGCCATACATGACGGACTGTACCGCACTGTGCTCAGGCTGTGCCCAATTTTGAAACCGTGTTATGATGTGACCATTAAAAAATAATCTGCATGAGGTTTAAGGAGCAAGTATACAAGTTAGCCAATGGAATGTTCTAGAATAGGCGATAGCTCTACTTTTAGAACCTTAATTATGCTTTATGCTTATACTTTTCTTTCAAACGGTTGTTTTTATGAAAGCTTTATAAAATCGTATATTTAATAGCAAGTTTTAAGAGTAAGCGCTAAAGTGATATTTTTATGGGCACGGCAGCTGTGTAAACATATATAAATATGTATGTTTCATTATTGCACACCCAGCTGTTACCCAGACTAGATGAAAACAGTACTATAACTTAATTATATATCAGACACAACATATAATGGTGTTTACTGTTGCACCGTAGAAATGACTCATTGTTTCAAAGTTGTTAAAACCCTGTAGTGTTCTGCATTGTGGGGTCATTGTGCATCCTCTTTCAGAGAATGCACTGTGTCTGCTCCTACCCACTGAACTGAACATATTGGAGGTGAAAGAAGCATGTTTTAAGTAAATTTCCCAGTCCCATTAGATTCCAAGTTAGACATTTATTTGGTACCGTTGACAGCGTCAACATGTTTTCCTAAAGAGTTACTCCAATCACCATGATCACTTCTGATTTTCGAAGTGGTCATGGGGGTAGGGGTTTGTATGTGCAGTGTTCCAGCTTGAAACACTGGACATACTGAGTTCTTGTTAATCGTGTGCCGAAGTCTAGATGCACCCCCAGCACATGTGATTTTGGCAGCCTAGAAGCCTGTTCTGGGTTGCCTGATAGCCTGTCAATTCTGTACATATTTTATATCTGTGGCTTGCAGGCTGCTTAGCGATGTAACAGATGTAAGAGCCTGTAAGGGGAAGCTCTTGTCTTACTTCCCTCCCTCCTACACTGTAAGCAGCTAATATATTCCCTCCCCCTGTCCTTCCTCTTTTCCCTCCCTCCCTCTCTTTTCCCCTCCCCTGGCTGGCTCAGAGCGTGTGCATGCGCTTTGGGCTAGTTAAATCCTCCAATCAAAGGCTTCTCAGTGAGGCTTTTGAGAAGCCTTTGATTGAAGGATTTAACTAGCTCAAAGCGCATGGACACGCTTTGAGCCAGGAAGGGAGGGAAAAGTTATAAATATTTAAAGGGACACTATAGGCACCCAGACCACTTCAGCTCCTTGAAGTGGTCTAGGTACCGTGTCCCTATTGCACATAGTGATGCAATATAAAACATTGCAGCTTTCGAGAAACTGTAATGTTTATATTGTAACACTAAGCCAGCCTGTAGTGACTGTCTACCAGACAGCTGCTAGAGGCGCTTCGGAAATGTTACCAGATAATTGACACTGGACGTCCTCACGCTCTGCATGAGTACATCAAGCGTCAACTATTTCCCCAAGTGACGTTGGAGGAGGCGGAGTCATGACACAGCACTGAGGGACATCGGAGCTGGGATCAGATAAGTAAATACATTTTTTTTAACCCTTTATTCATATGGGGAAGGGGTGCAAGGGAGGAGGCAGAAGGACCTATAGTGCCAGGAATACAGCGTTGTATTCCTGGTACTATAGTATACCTTTAATTTTTACTGCATTTAACCCAATGTTCTCTTTGGATAACTCCGTTAATTCTGAAATTTGGGAGTTGCACCAAGTTTAAGCCATCTAATGTTTAATTAAAACTCACGACTAATGTCTAAATATTTACAAGATGACAATCTATTTGCACATTTCAGACTCAAATATCTTTTTTTTTAACCAAATCTGTTATTCTGTTAACTATTTGGGTAATGATTTACTTATAGAGTGTTCACTAACGTATGAATTGTAAGGAGTTCAAAATGTTTCAGATACCCTATTGTAACAATGCAATGTTTGTGGGCCCAGGTCATAATAGAAAACCAGCAAAATCTCAATGTATCCTTCCTGGTAAAATATTTTGTAAATAAACAAAAATATTGGAACTTGAAAGCCTCTGAGCCAGCTAACATTTTGGTTTGGCTATAATGCCCTACCATTTGAAAATAAGTTTTGAATTCATGCCAATTTACACGTTTTGTAAATATAAATCCTATTACAGTGTGCCCTGCCTTTTTAGCCAGTGGTGTAATATTAGTCTCATTATCCTCTGCACGTGCCCATTGTTTCCTTTTGTTGATTTTGACTCTATTATTAAAAAAAAATTGTTAAAATATAATACTCAGGAAAAGGTTTTATTCAAAAGAGAACAATCACACCTTTCTTGTAGTACAGTCCAAACATGGAACACGTAGAAAAAATAGGGTGACCTAGGCATTCATAGGGAAATGCTATTTAATTTGAAGAAAATCACAGATTCTCTCCACTTGCTGCTCATAATTTTGTCTAGAGTGAAATCTGCTCAGTGACTGGAAAGCGAGAGAGTACAGGGCCTTTAGGGAATGAGTTTATTTTTAGTAAACGGACAGATCAGTAGCTTTAGGGGGGCAGTGTTTTTATGTGCATCTCTTCTTCTTGTCCATGTGCAAAGCAGAAGAGGACCACAGCTTCACAAAAACATATGGCGGCGGGTGTAATGGTTTGTGAGGGTCTTCTAATAAAGTGGGGTACAAATGGTCTTAAGCTAGGGTGTTTGCTCATTTGACAGTACAATTTTTGATATTGACTTTTTTTTTTCCTGCACAAATGGGCGCCTTAAATTTTGCAAGCCGCGACTTCTCATTACTGTTTACAGAATGGACTCAAATCTTATCCACATATCAATGCAAGCCTATTGCACAGCATGAAATCATTATTTGAGTGTAATTTGTACCTGTTGCACATTTTCACAGTGTAGGAAAATAAATAAGCTTACAGGATTTATTTATTTCTTTTTTTGTTAGTAGCTTGCCTTGTGAAATTCATAGACCTTCTGGGAACTAGGTCTACAATGCTAAGGAATATGCAGTAATAAATTATATATAGTTAATGCTTGTGGAGATATACGTTGAATTGAACCTGTCATTTCAGATTTGTTTATATTTATTTGTTTAAACTGCGTATACTTGTTTTCAATATAATTGTTAAATCCTTTGAGCTTTTAGTTTTAGTGGAATAAACAATTTCTAACTGAACTGGAGTTCTTTATGTCCCATTTTGCAGTTTTAAAAAACAAATGTAATCTTTTCTGCTCAATGTAATTCTGGGAAGTAATATAATCCTAATTTCCAAGATTGTCTGATCTGGAAGTTTAATATCTGTCAAATAAATATTCTATATCTTCCTCACATGTAAATAACATTAAAGGGATGTGATTGATAGGCCTTCATGCAAGAAATTGTACTTATAGATAATTTGGATTTTTTGTACAGTGCCAGATGTATTCTTTTTAACCCCTTAAGGACCAAACTTCTGGAATAAAAGGGAATCATGACATGTCACACATGTCGTGTGTCTTTAAGGGGTTAAATAACCTGCTTTTTTCCCCACTTCCAAAAGGCAGTAGTTTGCAGCAACATGTTTCCAATACAACTGTGCTTTGAAAGATTTGAATAGATATCTCTTGCCCCTGTGAAAGATTACCAATTTAGAGTGTTTTTTATTCATTATTTTACATGAATGAAGCACTTCAGTCCAGACCTGTTGAGAATGTACCCTGAAAATGTCCCATAATCCCCTGCACCGCAGAGATTTATGAGATCTGTTCTATTTTTTAATTGAATGCAGTTGGTTGACTTTAAATTTCAGCTGTTTCCTGGTCTCTGCAACATCTCTGCATAAGCATCAAATCCTTATGATTTGCTGTGATTAATACATAATTCCTTCCAGCAAGCGGTCTAGTGCTGAGCATCCTCTGTTAACATACTTTTATTTGCTTCAAAAATCTATTTAAAAAGTGACAATCATTTTGGATTATTGATATTTAAAGAACACCAATACTACACCTATTACAGAGTTAATTTGTAGCAAATAGAGATACTTACCTTTTTATTATGTTACTATGTAGCAAAGAGATAGTTATATCTGATTGGTTTCTCTTGATCACTCTGGTTTTATGGCCCCTGGCGGTCGGTCCGCTGGTTTTTGCATTGTGCACATGCAATGCTTTCAGTAGCACTGGTTCTCAAGGCTCCCACCATCCTGGTATCTCTTAAATTTGGAAATACATAATTCCTGCACTATTGGTGTGCCCTGAGAACAGGTCTGGGAACAGGCTGTAGAAATGACTAGAATTAACTGGTGCTTGTACCGTGCAGTTCATCCAATGTGAATGGGAACACGAATAGCTGTTCTTCTCATTTCCGAGCAGGTCCCTATGGAAAAATATCATTCATGCACAGTAGGAAGTGAACTTTGGTACGTTGCATGGTGCACGAGTGCCCAATTGAGTTTTATTATTTTTGTACACAAAAACTAAGCACATCTGGACCATACGTTAAATCAGAATGAGCTATTTCAGCAATGGCTGCAACACGAGCCCCGTTTCCATTGAGCGGTATGGTTCGAGTTGGTACAGTTTGGTATGCTATTTTGTGTTTCCATTATAAAAGGGGCCCATACAACCGAACCAAACCGCACCATTCCTGGGCCCCCTTCAGTTGTAGGTCCATAGGAAATGGTACGGTACGATTAGGATGGAGCTACTGGCGTCACACGATACAATCCATTGAGTTGCGGACAGAAAAATGTCACTGCATAAATTGGCGGACAGAAAAACGTCACTGCGGTCTTAACCCTGCATTCCCCCTGGTGGTCCGACTTGCAGTGGAAACGCTCACCTGAATAGGCTGGACTATTCTAACCCTTCCGAACCATACTGCTCAGTGGAAATGGGGCTGTGCATTTTTCTTGTTTTGGTAATGGATTGTCGAATCTTGGGCGTTCTTCTGGACTGCAGTGTCTGTTATTTGCTGCTAATTCTGGACAGCGTCCTCTTACTTGGTAATAAGCAATCCAGCCCCCCAAAATTGGACGCATATTGTAGAAGTAAAGTTCCACCCTGGCTGAGCTACAGCAAATGGACTGGGCTTTAGGTGTCAGAAGAGACACTTTTTCTTAAATAGTTTATTTTTTGTTGTTGTTTTTTTAAACTGCTTGAAAACTGTTTGACCGAAACATGGAGAGAATCGCTGGAGTTCGAGACGCCAGAGACTTTGTACCATAACCACCACACTGATATTCAATAATTTTGTTAGAACATCGTAGAGAACATCTATAAAATGAACGTTTAATGTCACATGAAACAAAAATACTAAGCAGTTCAAAGCAATTGTAACCAACAAGGTCTTGTGCTTGAAATATTAAGGTAAACCGTTTTCTTCATAGAACCCACTGGAATATCTAGACAATTATTTCTGTTACCCTTTAATATTCCATAGACTGATTGACAAAGCTAACTACATGATTGCTAGTAACCATTTATTTTTACACTATCGGATGGCGCTACGCAATAATCATGTACTCTATAATTAAAAATAAATATATATAATAAATTTGTCCTAGAACCTAACTAATATATGTAATTTCAAAAAAAGTAAAGTGTCCTCTTCTTCTTTGTGTAGGTCAACACTGTCACCATAGCAACAGATACTACTTATTCCTACTGAGTGCTGTACCAGCCATCATTATACATGTAATAGAATATGCCAGACAGGGCAGCATCGGTACACCAAAATCACTGCTTTTAGATGTAGTAGTTTTGGTGCTTAAAGTGTCTCTTTAACAACGGTCTTATTTCTTCTAGTCAATATACTAGTACAGGATTACTGCGTGCGCATTGGACCTTCGAATTGCAGGGATGCAGAAAGAAATATTCCAATATGTATTCTGCATTATAATATATATAAAAAATGCTGATCCATCCACCTGGCTCTCATGCAAGTGTCAAATTCTAAAAAATTAAAGTGAAAGAAATAAAACTGTTTATTAATACATCCACAGCACATGACCAATAGGCCATCTGTCCCAGAAATTCCTATTTCTCTGAAGGCAAGTTTTATAATGAGGGCTAGCTATTCCGCCTGTTATTACTAAGTTTAGCGTATTCAACAAATGCTTCTAAATTCCAACTAATCGGAGGCATTAACCCTTTCCTCCGGTCAGTCTTCTTTTAGAAGTGGAATAGAAGCCATTCACTGACAACTCAGCTGTTTGTCCTTCAA